TCTTCTTTCTTCCCTCTTTTTTTGTTTTTTCTCTCAAATCTCCTTTATGGATTAATTAAATATCAGTTAAAAAACCTGTGATTTATTCAATCAATGCTGTGCATTTTCTTTGCCCAAGGCAAGAAAACCTTTCTCCTAGTGTTCAATCAATATGGGTTCTTGAGAGATTTGGGGCACTTAAAATTGTGGGGTTTCAAGTCACTAGCTTGCTGGAGCACCTTGTAGTTTATAATAATAATAATAATAATAATAATAATAATAATAATAATAATAATAATAATAATAATAATAATAATAATAAAGTTGGAAGGGACCTTGGAGGTCATCTAGTCCAACCCCCTGCTCAGGCAGGAAACCCTATACCATTTCGGACAAATGGCTGTCCAGTTTCTTCTTAAAAACGTCCAGTGTTGGCGCATTCACCGCATCTGGTTCACAGTTTGGGATGATGGGGAGTAAGCCATGTGGGGTTTATTGATTGACTGTACTGGTTTATTGTACCTTGCTACTTCCTTACATGGATAAATAGCCAACCTGCATGATCTCTGCCTCCCTGGGCAATTGGGCACCATTTCTTCGGTGTCATGCATACAGACTGGTTGGACGAATCTAAGATCTGAACTTTAAAAAATTGAGGATGGAGAACTTAATCTCCAAAGCACCAGAAGGCAGGACAAGAAACAATGGGTGGAATTTAATCAAGGATAGAAGCAACCTGGAATTAAGGAGAAACTTCCTAACAGTAAAGACAATTAACCAGTGGAACAGCTTGCCTTCAGAAGTTGTGGGTGCTTCATCACTGGAGGTTTTTAAAAAGAGACTTGACCGTCACCTATCTCTGATCTATAGGATCTCCTGTTTGAGCAGGGGTTGGACTAGAAGACCTCTTAAGTTCCCTTCCCGCTCTATTCAGATTGATTGATCTTCTCTCTTCCCTGACTCGTCAAATCTGACTTTGTACAATTCATTCTCATGAGACTCCATATTACGTGAAGTAGGTTTTCTCTGTGCTTGCAAATAGTGACAAGTACTTGAACCTAATCTTAACTCTTTCCTTCAGCAGGATCATGTGCAGCTATTACTCCTTTTTTTCAAAAAACAACAACCCACTACTATAGTGTGTGTGTGTGTGTGTATTTGCCTACTGCCTACATTCCCTTTTTACCCCTGCCTAAATATGTCGTTAATGTTGAACTTCAGTGAGATATTTTTATCTGTGCAATGGGTCACTGGGTGAAGTCAGTCTGTGCATACC